TGCCACTCAATTTCAAGTACGTGCGGTACTCCGTCGTCACGCTGGCCGCCCGTGACTTTAGCGCCCGCTCTGGCATCAAGGGAGTGGAACTCTTTAATGCAAATCTGTGCTGGCATCCCCAATCATGGGCTGCAATTTGCTCTCCCTTGGGGAACTTTACCACGGTTTGGGTAGTAATTGACCACGCGTCGTGATTGATGCCCATTTCCTGAAACAAGTCCGTCAGGGAGGGAAGCGCGTCCATCACTCGTGGTTCAATTTGAGTGCCAGCCACAGTCGAATTCATGACACAGGTTGCAGATCCATACAGATCCCCAGCCCACCTGAAGAATCGCTGACAGTTCCCAACCCCAACGGGCTATCCGCGTCTTTTTGCCTCAGGCATGCATACTCTATCTTGATCACGATCCACCCCTTAGCCCTATTGCACATTCTTGAACTCCTTCTTACCCAATCGATACCTCTTCGAGTAGAGATACGGCGCTATTCAATATATGATATCGAGAGTTCTTACTCAAAGTAGCGGAACCAATTGGAAATGGCTACTTCGGCGGCCATTTTCCGAGTTTTGACAACCAATCACTCAACAATCATCCACATCGCGACTAGCACAGTACGGGCTCTTTTCCCTTAATACATGCCCAAACTTCCACAGAAAGATAACACCAGTCAGACCAATGCACAATGCAATAATACCCAGTATGCTGGAAGTCCAACCATATCCCAACCGCTCATATCTATAATCCTTGTCAGAGATGGCAATCTTGTCACACGAGAAAGACGATAACTCACGCATAAGGCGAAAATAAAGGAAACACAAATCCCGCCAAGCACCGTAGCATCGACGTCGCAGCAAGGGCACTGGCCGAGTACCGCCCATACGTGTCCACAACATAGATATTGTTCGAGACAGTGCAGATGTACGCGGCAGCCGCGAAAAGCGCAATCCCGATGTCAGGCATGAGCCAGAATAGGTGAGCTTCAGCGCTCCAGCCGTACCAGAACAGACCGATGGCCAGGATAACCGTGGCGGGAATCATAATAGGTATGCGGAACTCAGGCAAGCTTTTGCCACTGTTCCGCTTTGTCAGAATGCGAAATATGCGGTCGTTTATGTGTGTTGCTACTTCTGCTGCAAAGGCGGTTCCAAGCCCCAGTGCGAGGTAATGAAGAGAGGCTATGTCTAGTCGCTCGTGGTAACGGGTTGTCCAGAGAACAGCGATGGAGGCGTAGAGAATATAGATGTTACCGTAAAGGTAGCCTTGGTATATTGCCATGACTTGCACTATAGGTTGCGTCGTGAGAAGCTTGATGGGACGCATCATAGTGGTTCGCATCATGTCGAGTTTGGAACCGTTGGGAAAGTCATGTTCAGTGTAAAGACCTGTGGCTCCAGCTTTTGTGAGTCGATCTCTTTTCCTGCGTAACAGAACTGGCGTGTATGACTCGTCAAGAAAGAAAAGACCAAAGATTTGTACGCAGCCGTCTACTATAGAGGTGACGTAAAATGCCCAACGCCAGGAAATGCGCTCAGTTAAAAAACCGCCCGCAACGGGTCCTAGGACTTGGCCAACAAGAGGGAATATACTGTAGATTGCCATGGCCTTACCACGCTCATTGGCATTGAACAAGTCTCCGAGAGTTCCAGCTCCAATCTTTAGGGTTGAAGTTAGGAAACAATTCTCAAGCAAATGAAGTAATGTTTGCGATAACTTACACCAACAGTACAACTCCCAAAAAGCCCAGCAAAGAACCTAAAGAGAAGAAGTTGCTCAATAGTCCTTGCAACACCACACGCAGAGTTGAAGACCAGAAACACAAAGTTGAATGTCTGCAGCACCACTGTTCGGCCCCAGATCTCCGACAAAGGACTGATGAACATGGGTCCAATAGCGTAGCCCAGTAGAAATATTGACAGCACCATAGGTCTTAGAACAGTAATTGTGATGCTGAGCTCTTCCGTGATAATGTCTAAGGCAGGAGCGACAATAGTTGTTGGAAGCGGGCTCATGAGGACAAAGCCGGAAATTGAGATAACTGCCAGCCATTTTCGACGAGTCGCCCAATTCTTAGGGTTTTCTGGATCGTCAGGCCCGTCCCAGGTGACCTCTAAATGTTAATACTCGTTCAATACGGTCCTGCATAGCACACTTACAAGTCCACCGTCGACGTCGTTGCTTGTCATACGATCCTCGTGTTTGGGGATGTTTTCGCTGTGGGCCATGGCTGTATGTTTCTGTAGGTGAAGTCTGGAACTAGAGGAGAGACAAGAAGTTGGCAAGAAATCATGAAAATGTAGCCAGGTAATCAAGGTAAGGAGCTTGATACAGGACGGAGTTCAAAACAGCTCCGGCGAGGCCATTCGGAGTTCAACGTCAATACTCGGAGTTCAATATCCACATCCAACTCCGTCTGGGCCCGGGGTGCTTCCTCAAGATCCATTCAGCATCGGACGCAGGTTTACGTGGCACGAGCCGTTCTCTCCTGTATAGCAATTTCACCGATCGACGGGGACCGAGGAGCGTTTCGAAAGATGACTTCAATCTAACATGACTGGGGATGTTGCGGGTTCAACCCGTGAAACCCTACCGTCGATAATGTATTCTGTCTCAGTATCTGGAAATACTACGGTATCGCTACCTTTAAGCAACCAGCTACTTGTCGAATGACCGATGTTTGCACCTGAGCAACAACGGAATTTATGATCGAGGCCGCCCGCGGCTTTACGAAACGGGATATACCTCTCCAGAATTACAGCATGATGGCTGAAGCATCTAGCGTCAAATACCCGCTTCCAATCTGACCGAAGATGTCATCAAGGTTGAGAGAGTCGCTATCAAGTCCAGAAGTAGGTGAGAACGGTATGTCGGCCGCAATTTGATTCTCGACCGTTTCTCTCGTTATTGGTTCGCGGCTTTTGGGGTCAATTATCTCGCCAAGGATCCCGGACAAGACGGCATGTGCCCATTTGCAAGGTTTTTGGTTGACTTCTCGGCGATTGATGCTTCTTTGGAGATTTGAGATAAAGACGGCGAGATTTTGTATGACCTCGGCGCGAGGAATCACGTCAATCTGTGAGTGGGAGGTGTTGGATGTACGATATAACTCTTTTAATAAATCGACTGCCAGAATACTAGCGCCTGGTAACCCATAATAGAGAATCTTAGGAGATCTTAGCATCAAGCCAAACAAATACGTGAGAGGATAAGCACTTACAGACCAGGATATGTCTCGCTGCATGTTGAAACCCTGGTCAGAGAGCGATACTACCTGCAGTACTGTATTCAGCAGCGACCTTGAGGTCTGGTATAGAGGTTCCCGCGTCCACTGAGTCTCATTCACAAGCTTCCGGTGTAACAAGAAGCAGTTATACTTTTGATCCATATAAGTTGTCATCACGACATATCGTTGCGGAGGGGGGATGTGTTGAGATTCAGTAAGCTCGTCGTATTTCAGCTCTTGTGGAATTTGGTCCCAGACAAATTCGTGTCTGGTTAATATATCACTAAATACCGGCCATCAGCAGTGTTAAGGCAGTATTGGCAAGCCACTCACTGCACCAAATTTTCGCTATCATTAGTGAAGTGTGTGTTAAGACACACCCCAAGTACCTCCTCCCGAAATTGACTAACTATCAGCTTCATCCGTCTCCAGGTTGCACCGCGAAATTGTCGATCCATATTCCAACCATTCCTGTCGACATTACGCAATGAAGTATACAGTTCGTCACCCTCTAACAGTAAAACTCCATCGTCGATATCAGCGGGCATAATATTGGCACAGTGTGAGCCCGAGATTCTCGGCGGTCGGCCGAGAATAGTGCTAATAGTTTTATCCATTGAATATATTTGGGCGGCATATCTCCTTCTCATCTCAAGTTGGTAGAATGGATGGGTTTCCTCAGATTTAACATTCGCCTGGTGAAGTCCAAGGGCGAAGAACATACTCGAAAGGTCACCCATACAACGCCAGAATTGAAAACCTGCAGTATCGATCTTGAGTACAAATATGCTTATCCTGTCTGTGAATTACTTACTCAGGTCGCCGTGAACCAGATTCTTCAGACAGGCGTCTCCATAGAGCAGCCATAAAGCCTGATGGCTAACACAGCTATAACTATAACAGATAGAGGTACAATATTCGACTGCTTCCGCGATATGATGGATGAAGTCGAGCTTCTGGGTAGGGAGTGGTTTTGATGGTTCGTTTTGCTTATTGACATCATATTTGAGGGATACTCCAAGCATAGCAAGAACAAAACCGATTATCTCCCACCTGAGATTAGGTCCAGTGAACAAAGTGTGGTAGTCCTTCGCTGGAACAGGCGTAAAAAGATTTAAAGGCTTGGAAGTGTTTACAAACACATCCACAGCAAGTTGTCTCAGACGCTTTCCTCTTAGGCCGAAGATAGTTTCTTGTATCGATAGGACGCAAGCTTTAATGAATGGACCCGGCACCATGCATGTGTAGGATAGCTCAAGGTACCTGTGAATACAGTCTGCAAAAGCTGGAAACTTGATCAGTAAATTCAACACAGCCACGCCCTCTAGGATTTGTTTCTCCGAGATTTGCTTTTGGCTGTAGTTTGCATTACAAAATTGTAATATTGATTGATCGCGAAATTGCCCCGCATATCTATTAACAATGTCCTGGTCGTCATTGATGATAGCTGGAAAAGCTGTAGAGCCAAAGAATTGAACCTCAGCGGCAGGAACAGTTCTAGTTTCCGACGATGAAGATATACTTGCTCTTGGCGAATGTTGCACATTATTGTGAGTGGGCAATGGCCGCGCGCTTGTTGAGGAACCCAGGGATAGGGACTGCCTTGTGGACCGTGACGCAGGGCTTGGGCCGTCGCGCGGTCTTGTCATTGGAGCAGGATGGTAGATGCAGCTTTTTTCCTTATGCCGAGCGACACATCTGTCGCAGACAGGACTTTTGTGGTCACAGCGGACCTTAGCTATTCGACACGGCTCACAGGAACGAGGTTTTCCATTGCGCCTGGTTGTAACCAAGCTTCGAGAAGCCATATCAAACATCCAACCCTGTATATTCTAAGTTCTGGGTGTGATGAGGCTTCAAGCACGGGTTGGAATTCACGAGAAAGTCCTTGCTTTCTATAACAGCTTAAATCAAGTGACGTCAATATATGCACTTCACTGCAGGCTCACTAGTTCTGGAAGACCAGACAAGGAAGATGATGAGCCACGGTCAACTTGAGTAAACCGATTAGTCGGTCACATGACTATATAGTACCGCCACTATATGAGGCGCAGGCTGTCTTCGCTGTTATACTAGTCCTTTGCTGATGTTTGAATACATTGTCTAAGGATAATGTTTAGCTACAATGGCTATTCTTTTACGGGGGCTAGTATGTGAACAACACAAGGATTGAACCGGAAGCAGTTAAGTATCAACAGCAATATCGAGAGCCGGGCCGAAAGGTGAAGTGAAGCTGCAGAAACGAGACTCGAAGGGTGCAGAATGTAGACACTAACCTCTGGCTCAAGGAAGAGTCTCGGATGATGACGTTTCGTGTATTGGCCTACATGATTCAAAATCACCTGCCAGCTTCCTAGGCAGGTTCTTGGATCAAAGGCTATAATGCAACTCTTAGACTATCGAAAGCTGGTATTATGTTTATTTTAGGGAAGCTTTGAGGTATCTCTTGGAACACTGTCTTCGGGTGATTAAAAGGAGTAATATCTTGTGAAGAGCTGAGGTAATCTGATAACGACTTTGATGCTTTTCTTTTTTTTAGATATATATGCCCCAGCTGAGTTAGCAGTTATATGTAAATCAATAACCGGCAACCATACCTTGTAGTCCATATTATTATTCCAGTAGGAGTCTTTAGCTTCAAGTGTCTTTTACCAGGGCGATCTATCTAGTAATATACTTGTTGATACACTGTACTCCATGTAGGCCAATATGGACCGATAGAACCGTCCTTCCTCACTTACTGTTGCTTTATCCGGTATTGACTACTGATAGAGATATTTTTTGATTTATGTGATTTTTTGCTAAGCTTTACTGTATAAGCAATGCCCTGGTAACTAATACTTGACACCCGTATTTCTGTGTTATAGAGTCTTGCACGCTAGGGCTCATAGATATCACGTAAATTTTCAATTAATCGACGGATCCCCCCTATCGGAAAGGAATGATACCAAAAATAAGAACAACCGTTATAATAAACAACTATATAATCATTAAATGGCTCTCACTAGATACAAGGTGGGATCAATTGATTCAAGGCAGACAGAGGATCCTGAGCTGCCATAACCCCTCACAACTTGCGGTTAAGATCGATGAACATTGATAGCAACCAGCTAGAGGCCTTCTCTATCAGTATTTGGACATCCGAAGAATTAGTGACAGTAAAAGCTGCCAGACCCATTAAAAACACTCCCATGGAGAGCATCTGGCCGCAGCTGCTGCGCCTTTTTCCGTTCTTCAGTAAATCAAAGTCAGGCCAGGACGGTAAAATCGTACGAAGCCAATACTTGTACATAGGGTCGGGGTAAATGAAGGTATTCTTCCTGGTCACTGGATCCATCCACCAGCTCTGGCAGCCGCTATTGAACACAAGATGGCTCAACTTGTCATGGACCCAGGATAGGTCTCGTTGTTGCGCTTCAGATCTGACCATAATCGAGTCGGCCTTGCCCTTCAGAACTGGCCGAAGAAGACGGCACGAGTAGTTAATTTGACATTCCGAGTGAAAAAAATAACAGAATGTTGACCAGTTGCAGCATTCGGACCGTACAATATGAAGAAATTGGGAAACCCGCTCACCACGGTACCTTTATACGCCTCGGCGCCGCCGGCAGCATCCCAGACTTGGTGTAAATCCTTACCGTTAATTCCATTAATCTGCATGGGAAATAGCCACTTCTGAGTTTGGAAGCCCGTAGCGTAGATTATTGCATCAGCTACATGACGGACTCCACTTTTGGTCTCCACGTAGTCCGGGCCTACCTTCACCACAGAATTATCGGTCAATAGCATCTGTGGAGAGTGTAAACAAGCCATGTAGGAAGCGGTATTGACTCGACGTTTGCATCCAGGCTCATATTTTGGCTTGAGGATTTCATGGTACTGGGGCGGCGCGTCGCTTTCAATGAACGAGTAGGTAGCATCACGGATCTTTTGTCGCATAGCAGCGCCATTGCTGTTCATGTAGAACGAAGAAAAGACTCTTTCTAGTTGCCATGCGAGAATGATACGGTAGACCTTCGCTGCGAAGGGAACATGCTTCAGGACAAGCTTGAAGCCTTCCGAGTATTGCGGATTACCCTGTAGTGAACGGATTAGTGATGCACTTCCAATAAATCTATGACAGGCCGAAAGGGAATAACTAACCCGCTTGGTCCACCAATGGGCACTCCGTACAAACTGCGTTACCGTGCCCTTAGGCCCAACATCCTTGACTAGCTCGGGAACAAATTGAGTAGCAGAGGCTCCATTGCCAAGGACCACAATCTTCTTCCCCGCGGGGTTAAAGGAGTCGTTCCACCTTGCACTATGAAAGACTTCCCCCTGGAACGACTCCGACCCGTTGATATTTGGAATGTAAGGCCGGCCAAGCGTCCCAATAGCGCTGACCACGACAGGGGCCTCTTTCTTGAAGATTTCTCCAGAGATCGTGTCTTGGAAGGTACAAGTCCATAGGGAACGTGGATTATCCCAGGCTAGACTGACACACATAGCGTTGAACCGACAGTGGGGGAGTATGTCGTACTTTTCGGCAACAGAGAAGAAGTCTTGACACCATCAACCATGTGTCCTGGAGTCTGATAAAAATTGGAGTACTTACACTGATGGAGCTCATCACGACCAGGAAACATCGTAGTCCAGTCATGTTTTAGTGCAAAGCTGTATGAATAAAAATGGCTAGGGATATCGCAGGCACATCCAGGGTAGCGATTGTGCCACCATGTTCCGCCAATATTGTCGGATTTCTCGTAGATGGTGAAGTTATCATGGCCCAACAGCCGTTTCAGCTGGATGGCCATTCCCAAGCCGGAGATGCCAGCTCCAATGATGATGACTTCCTTACTTTGATCCATTCTTCAAAGGGTGCGTACCTAGCGGAGGAACTTATGGACTGTAAGCAAGTGATGATTCGAGCACTCCGAGGCTTTATTTAAGTGCTGTGTCAAAGGATTGAAATATGCAGGCATATTCGTTGATATGGAGTAGAATCGGAGCTTGCACATAGTCGTAACTCTGTATAGTTGCTGGTATACATCGGTTGCAATTGCTTGGCGGCGCTTGCAGTTGCCGTTCCCTTTCCCCACAAATTGGTAGCATGTGACTGGTCCTTCTTCTGGGGAAGTCTCCACATTGCTATCGATTTCCACCACTACGATCGATCCTCTTCCCAATCGTGCGCTTCGATTAAATCGGCAATGCCTTCACTTCTGATCTACATTTTTTGTGACTTACTCATGGACGATGGAGAGAATCGAGTACCTGCATTTACCTGTGGACGTCTCAGAAGGAAGCGCATCCCCAGTCGTCAAACACCTTTTCTTTCTCGCAAGACTAGTACCGTTTCAGGAGAAGCCTGTATGAAATATGGAGGCGCCGGACAGTGATGCAGCCGCCAGTCCGACTAAGATTCGGTGGAAACGGACAAGGTCGGGATGGTAAGCGACCAAAGTGAAGCTCCATTTAATGGGTGGCTGCAGTTGACAGTTTTCCAGCCTGAAATGTCGTAGCCGTCGCCGGAAGTGTAAGAATATCATGGTATATGGATGGAGTTGCCTCTTCGCTCACGTATACCATTGCAGGCGATGGAGCCCGTCCACAATGTAGGAACTGCCAGACTCGTGGGACAACTTGTCGATGGGGCCTCAAGGCTTCTTTTCACCACTCGCGCAACCTCAGCTTATCCCAGAGTGAAGTTTCTTCCTTATGCGCTATTGAAAGGTGCCGGGAATCTTTGCAGTCTCAAGCACAAGCCGTTCCGACGGTACATTATGCCACTCAGTGATGAAAGGTTAGTGCGTGTACTGACATATTGCTCTAGATAATAGATGAGTCAGAGTCAATTGCTCGTGACTACCATTTCCTTGGCGACACTTACGCTTCTGATTCTATTCTGGACCAATCGCATGAGGCGGACAGATCGGGGGTGGATGAGGACGAGAATGAGGACGTGTTTAATGCAGATAAATCTGACATAGCGGATGCCACAGCGTTGAAAAGAGCTGGCTGTGGCTCTAAAGGCAGATCGAGCGCGCTGGATACCTCTTATCTTCATTCACAGGAATCTTCTACGCCTCGTTCTCCGGGAACCAACGATGGGTTGAGTACCGGAGACCTCAGCATCAGTAATCTGCTATGTCAGCCTAACCCACAAATCGCGCAGTCACTTCAGCCCATGCTCCTTGAATATGCATTCTCCCCATTATCCGATCTCTATCACTATCGGCCCCATGGCATAGCTACGCATGAGGCTGGGGTGTATATTCCGCCTTTTTCGCTAGGACTGGCGGTTTCTCGGGACGAGTCCCCGCTGCCCGAACCATTTTTGCCTGTAACTGGCACAGAAAAAGCTCGTTTGATTTCTTCATTCATGCAAGAGACTGGAACGTGGTGTGAGACAACCGACTCCAATATGCATTTCACAATGCGATCCCTGCATTCTATGATGAAGTCCACGGCTTTTCTAGCAGCTGCTATGTCTCTCGCCTCCCGCCAACTAGACTATGTCGAGAAAGTTCAGCGGCCAGTCACCCTAGAGCTATATCAATATACAATACAACACCTTCTCCGGCAAGACCCCGCAACAGCGGAGGCGTCGGTTCTCGCAACCTGCACTCTGCTGTGCGTTTACGAAATGATGGCTTCCGACGTCCATGAGTGGCGGCGGCATTTGAAGGTCCGTTGGTGCTGCCGTTCGCTTCTCTCGTGTATATATTCTTATTACTTCTACAGGGATGTGCTGGCCTTCTTCTGGCAAAGAAGTGGAATGGTTCGAGCCAGGGAATTGTTAAATCCTGTTTTTGGGCATTTGCCCGAATCGGTACGACTTACAGAGGCCCCATTCATCATAATGGCTAATTCCTTTGGTAGATGTATGGGCGGCTTTTATTAGCGGTAAGACGACACTAATCCCAGCTGACTTCTGGTTGGATGATGCGTCCCTCGAGTCCTTGGCCAAGAAAGGAGAAGTGGATGACTACTGTAATTTTGCCATCTTTATATTTGCTCAGATTGTCAATATGTCAGCCGCGCCCGGATTTGGCGCAAGAAAAGCTGGGTCTACGTTTGCTGTCTTGGTCTCTAGACTGTGGGGAGAGCTCCAGAAATGGTACCGGCTCCGCCCTCAGGAGGTGTGCCCTTTACTGAGGGACGCTTGTCTTCCTCCCATGGTATTCCCTGCCGTGATATACACAAGTGCCTCAGCTAGTAAGTTGTTTCCTTCCTGCGTATATAGTTCTATTCTGAACCTTCCTAGTTTGCGGCAATACCTTTTACCATACCGGATCCATGCTACTCTTACAAACTGGCCTTATTCCAGAATCGGAGATTTCGTCTTCCCCCATTAAGGATGCTGTAGGTGTTCCTTGTCACTTGGCATTACATTATATTGGGACCGTATATGAGCTATACGAAGTCAATTTAAGTCTCCAGGCTAACCAGCTTTAAGGTTGATGTCGCTTGGCATGCGAGGGAACTCTGTGGCATATCTATGTCAAACCCATCTCAGTAGGTTTCAAAGGAGACCCATTTCAACTCATATTCCGAAAAGAATAACAGAGAGGGAATATGGAACTTCGGCTGATACATTTAGTGCGAACTGGGTCAACCAGCTTCAACCGCTTAATATTGCGGGAGCAGTATTCGCCAGCAAGTCTTCATCCTTATCGGCTTGTCCAGGCTCTTCAGACGATCAAGTGCACTTTCCCCCATCATCAATACTTAATATCATAAGACGAAATATACCCTCTCAACACGCCCGCTCCAATCTGGAGGAAGAATATGCCACGGAGAAGATACTTTTGCTCAAACATCTGGCTCGAATTGAGAATGAAACAGGCTGGAAGACTTCGGATCGAGCGGCCGATCTTAGGAAACTCTGGGGTTTCTAATTAGGGAAATAGTAATGCATCTTGAAGGCATCCAATCGGTGACGCAGTTTAGTGAACATTTTATGCATTACCCTATCTAGAGAAGAACCCCTTTTCTTGTATCACATGGGGACCATACAGCCCGCGTAACCCTTCGCTGCCTTTCCTACTGCCGAATATATGCCTGCATAACGACAGGGGAGGAAAAGAACGAGCGGAGATCTTGCACGAAGAGATCCGGCCTCTCGAGAGACGAAAAGTGACCCCCTCGATCATACTCCCTCCAGTAATGGATGTTGGCGGCCTGAGCGGCCCAGTCGCGAGGACACTTGGATTCATGAGTACACACTCTTCCATTTACGTGACACATGTCATAGAATATTTGACTTACATGGAGTTGCTCTTTTTTATACATACTGACTCCGCAAGGCGCCGAAACATACGTCTCAAAGGTCTTCTCAGCCTCACGCATACCACGGCCGAACGCTTCCCTGTAAAACCGCAGACCGGGAGTTGCGCCCTGAATCCAATGCATCATCACCAACGTGATGAGATCTGTATCACTCAAGGCATCATGCACGTCACCCCAATCATGAAACTTCTCCACAAACCACGCGAGCAGTCCGAGGGGAGAATCCCCCAACGCGAATCCTAATGTCTGTGGCCGGGTCTTCTGCTCCTCAAGGTACCCACTCTGATCCTGCTCGAAGTTCCGGCGCACCCGCAGCGACTCGTGCTCGAACTCCGAGTACGTCAGCGCTGAAAAACACCAGCGTAGATAGGCACATGGCGCCGACCACAACGTAGGAGGAGGCACTGGGAACATGTTCAAATGCTGGGCGCGCACAACCTGGGGGTACTGGATGGCGATGGAACGTGTGATGAAGGACCCGAAGTCGCCGCCCTGGGTCACGAACTTTGGGTATCCCAGAACGTCGGTCATTAGGATCTTGTACGCGCGCGCAACCACGTTGGGGCCGACGCCGGACTTGGAGGGCGCGGGCGAAAAACCGAACCCGGGGATTGATGGGGCAACGAAGTGGAAGGCCGGATCTTTTGCGTCCTCGGGCTCAGTCAGGGGGCGCACAACGCGCACCGCTTCCACAAAGGAGCCGGGCCAGCCGTGGGAGAATAGAAGCGGGATAGCACTTGGCCTGGCAGACTTGGTGTGGGTGAAGTGCAACACCAGGGGCCCGTAGCCGGGGACGTCGATCTTGACTAGGAAATGGTTGAAGATAGCATTCAGGTGGCGCTGTTGTTCCAGATTAGTGACTGCTAGCTTGTCGCACAGTGGGAAGCTCAACGCACCTCTTCGGCCTCCCAGTCATAGTGATCCTTCCAGAAATCTGCTAACTGTTTTACGCGGGAAACCTTGGCCCCTTGAGTCCAGTTGTTCTCGCCAAAATCGGTCTGTTCTTCGGGGTATCGGGATAGAGCTAGCTTCTGCTTGGTCAAATGGAGCAGTTCTTGGTCTACGTGTAGCGTATATGGCACCGGTGTGTTGAACTTGAGGTCTTTTAGCGGAATCGGGGATTTAAATACCATTTTTGTCGTGTGTTATTGTACGATGTCGTTTGTTAACGTTGACAGTGCAGCAAACACGAGTTGAATCGAATCTGAGGGCCAGACTGCCCACACAATGGTATTTAAATGATATCTCAGCCATCTGGAATTGCCTTTCGCTTTCGTTCATGATCTGATAAATTGAGGCGCTTGGAGTTGCTTCCGACCACAGGCAGCTGTAAGCGCCCCCTAGAGTCCGTTCATAGTGGAGAGCGACAGCCGGACTACCACGCGCAGTAGGGGTAAAGTCGCCTATCAGACGGATACACCTCTGTGAAGGTCTACCTCTCATCTAGTCAAGAATAGAACTGCGTTCACCTAGCAGAATATGGTGTTACTTTGTGTCATTGGCCATTGGGAATGACGGCTCAGAGTTACATCCACCACAAGTTCTGCCCAAGAATACGGACGAGGCCATCTCTTTC